TAACAATAGATGGCGACTGGGGACATGTGTTCCAGTGGGGGTTCTCGACCAGGAAGGTTATCTCAGTCAGTACCAACAGCGCCTCACTCGTCTCTCACTCGTCACTGATGGGACCTGCCCGGAAACGTCGCACCGCTTGGAAGGAATGTCCAGACTAACCTGTCTGACGGCGTTTGAGTGGGAAGGACTCCAACATCCGTCCGAGGTTGATTTGTTGCGACGGTGCATCCGTCAGACCTGGAGCTGCCTAGATCATCTGTCCATCGGCTTCGTTCCATCGGCTTTTGCCCGTGCTCTGTGCTGGCAGAGCCTTGGGCTTCAGCGACCGGAGCTTGAGGATGGGGGTAGAGGGACCGGCGTCACTACGAACGAGGATACGGGGATTGCGAATCCTGCAGCTCTTTCCGCTCTGTCCACGCTGTCATTGTCAAAGGTGACCTTGCCCCTGGATATCTCATCGGGACACAATGCGATATTCTACTCTCTGCGGTCGCTTACGCTGCGTGACTGCCCGAATCAGTTGCATCTCGTGCAATTACTGTCTTGGTCACAGAAGCCGCTCCGACTGACGCATTTCGAATTCTCTTTCGATTATCTGCTGCACGAACCGGGCGAAGGATATAGCCTTTCTGCTGTTGTGCGGTTCTTATGTTCATTTCGTGGGCTGCAGCATCTGCATTTGAGGTTGTCCAATTTCCCATCGTCAAAATCCCACATCCAGGACACCATCCGGCACCACCAGACCACGTTGAAAAGCCTTGTCTACCATGAGCGCCAACTCGCACCAATCGATGCTGATGGCTTATTTGAGGATGATCGGGATGTGTCGCCCGCTTGGGTTACGAACGTGTCTGCCGGTGTAGACCTGGGCCAGGTGTTTGCTCTGGCTTTATGTGCTAGACCATCTGCGGCTGTAAGTTTTTCTCGGCCCAGTAAACGAGTGCCTGCTAATGAGGACAGCGTCGGTGCCTTCTACCTACGGCCAAGCATTCCCAGCTTCAGATTCTACATCTGCGGTTCAGCGGCCTCGAGCGAATCCATCGAGACATCCCACGAGAGATTGCCACTTATCTACATGAGATGCGCAAAGGATATTCACGGCATCCTCGTTGGTGGTGGAGTTCCGTGAACCGGGACATCTCCAATGATAGCCACAACTACCGTCCCATTGTTGATGAGTACTTTGACAGGTCACACCTCGAGTATGGAGACTCGCAGGAGGCAGTGCTTATATCCTCTGCGGCAATTGCAGAGGCTGGGGATTTCGTGTCATTTGCGGACTGGGCATTTGGCCCCGACGGACTGCCGGCCCTGCAGGTTCTCGCGTTTGGGGACTTCTCTCACGGTGATCGATACAGGAGCCAGCAGTTTCTAATGCGTCGTGTCTATCCTTCATCGGAGGGCGGTGACAAGGAGCTTGCCGGCCTTGCATGCGATGATACGACGCGGCTGCCCTTTTGTTCGGCAGATATGAGTGACCCTTCGATTTGGGATGGTGCTATGGTGGACGGGGCTCGTTTTCTGTCCGCATGCCCAGGAGGCGGGCTGATGGAGTCACCGTACGAGTTGTAGGTCTGCACGTGTCTTTCTTGATTCTTCCTTGTGGTTCGCGGCGGACTACGCGGCGCAACGCGTCCCATGATGGATTTGGTCAAAGAAGGCGGTTGCTTTTGGTCATGATCTGCCGTACTCGTATTGCTACCTAGAAAATATATAATTTGCAGCTCTGAATCTCAGTTTACAGTATCCCACTGGTATATGAACTTGTCGTGCTTACTAGGTATCAATGAGAGCAAGTCCAATAGATACAGTAGTATTCGAAATCAGTTATACCTCCGCACTCTTGCGACTTGATTCCCGGAAAATAAGTCCGAATGACGCTAGTCCGTTTCAGTTCACCGCTTGGTAGTTTCAGCAGAACTGTCGTAGTAATGATACTGTTACAATCATTGAGTCACTGTTATAGTACCGTAATAGTACATGGAACAATCTCGAATTGCTTTCGTAGATCTAGCGATCTGGCAAGATCGCCCGCTAGCTTTACTCTTTCCTGCCAGTTTCCTTTTGGCTAACTTATTTCCTCTCATTCTGCCCGAATGCAGCGCAGCCTTCATCATCCACCAGTCATAATTAGAAGACCGTGCTTACGCTGTAGACAGCTAGACCTGGTAGGGAAATATGTTTTTAGTACTTCCGTGGATCTCGCTATCTTTCGCGCGTCTCAGTCGTTACCAGCTTTACCTGAGATGGGGGTTTCCAACAAAGCTAACATGCCTTTCCAAGAACCGTGATGAGCCAATATCACGTCGATGACGTATCTCAGTTTATGGAGCACGAACCATGGGAACCGAACTCGGATTACGCCCCAACCCCTGGCCACTACGGCAGCCCCTACGGCGCGTTTTCTACATTCAGCCCCTCTCCGTCTAATCAACGTGAGAGTGGTATCGACCTGACGAGTAACTCTGACACACACCCGCTCAGATTTCTACCGCTCTGTGAGTGGCAAGATGGAAAAAGCTACGATGAGGAAGCGCCATCATGTATCCACTATCGTATAGAGTGGCGAGTGACAGTCAATAATAGAGAGGTATCAGCAGACACGGAGGAAGATGTCTTTTTGGCACCTAGTGCCTTCTGGCAGCTGTTATTGGAGAAAAAGCTAGAAAAAGCTTTGCGGCGAAAGGCTGCCCGCCATCGCCGATTGAGACCTGATGATACGGTCATCGTCGTATCAACAAGCGATCGTACCAAACGCAAACTGACAAAAAGATTTGACGACACTGAAATAAATTGGACTGTCATTGAGAAGCAGCTTTTGATGTGGTCAGATGTCTTCTCCCGCGGTAAGGAGCTTATGGTGAAGATCAGTTTCAACTACATAAACGATCGCTCTTCCCCACCCGTTGGTCAAAAGGGAGACAAAAGGGAGACAAAAGGGGGAAATCATCTGTCACGCAGAGAATGCTTTGCGAACGAGACGCACAACTTCATGCGGAGGAGGGTGCTTCTGGTGAAAAACCAATCTGGAGCAGCGTTTATAGGTTGATGCGATGTGACTCATCGACATGTCAGCATGGCCCTCATTGCTGGGTAGACCCAATGGGGAAAAGGCACTATCCACTCAAATCTCATCATATGAAACGCCTGATATCCCACGTTGAAGAGGGCGGGATTCTGGAGAGTCACAAAGACGTGCCCGAAGCTGTACGTGACGAATTATACAGGGAAGAAGAACAGAAGTTGGTGAGAAACAAACGCAAAGGAGGTCAGGCCGTTGGGACCGGAGCGCCATATCCTCCTATCAACATCAATGTCGTGTCCTCGCGGCCTACGGCCCATGAGATTGATCTGTCGGCCCCTAGGGCACCAGGTGAATTGCAGGTTCTCAGTCCACTCGACATTCCTGGACCTAGAGACTTAGCCGTCGACGAATACGGTGAGTGGCAGATGTCGAAAGTCGACAATGAAGTCCTCAAGCATGCATTTCGAGAAGTGTGTGACGTGATGCTCGAGAACGGTCTTGATCTTGAGCAAGTGTACAAAGATCAAGATCCCAAGTTCTTCATTGAGAAAGGAGTCAAAATAGGTATCGCTCGGCGTTTCGTAGAGGACATTGGAAAGTGGGTTAAGAACGTGAAGAAAGCGGTGTCTGTTTGCGAGACTCTTTAGTCTGTGTAGAGTTTGATTAGTGCCTCCTGGCGTTACCTGGCGTCTTTTTCAATTACTACTTATATTAAATATCGTGGCACCTAATTGTTATGTACACACACACACACACACACACACACGATTCATTAACGCCCGGCGGCTGAGCCGAAAGGGCAACTATCAGTAATCTACCAGTACATGCATGTTTGGGTATACGCCGTGTCTCCTTGGAGCCCATACAGAGTTTCTTTCCGAATCTGACATCTTAACTTCCAATCTCATAGCTAGTTCCTGTGGATTAGTATTGGTTGGTAGACTGGCTTGAAGGCGCTTCTTCAAGTGTTCAACATCCTATCCTCGGCAGTTGAAGCGCGTCTACCGTCTGTCACAAGGTGTTGGGGTTAGTAGGGGAAGGTGTTCTTTCTGCGTTCGTCGGCAAGGTTAAGTGGCTTCAAGCCGGCCCGTAGCGATCGCGAACCGTATTGAGGCTCGCACTGCTTCCAAATTCGGCTTCCACTTTTGATCGTCGGAGGGTGACTTCCCTCCCAAGAAGAAGGATATGTTACTTCGGTGAGTGTGGGTGCATTGCAGCATTTCCGTCCGGTGCGCGGTCCACTTCCGACATCGAAACAGAAAGTGATCCACCGTCTCTCTCGCTTGTCCACATACACATTGGTCTGTCTCGGCAGCATTGATTCGAAAGAGATATCCATTGAGTCTTGCCATACCCGTGCGGAGCTGGGCCAACACGCTCGCATCTTTCCACGATAATCGGTCATACAGCTGTCGCGTGTGTTTCCCTGGAAGTGCGGTATCCACTCGTCTGGAATGTCTTCCTATGTTCTCAGGTAGCTTCCTGCTGGGGATTGCTTGGACACGCGCATTGTTATGTACAGTAGAATTCGAAAACAGATAACCCCCGAGACACTCACGCTTTCTTTCCTAGCGCCCCACTCAGGTCGCACTAATCCGAATTTGGTCAAGAAAAGTCACCCTATTCTTTCTTGATATATCTCTGGTAGATCACCAGAATTACCGTCATTACAGGTTCCGGCATTGGGCAGACCATACTTTCCGAAACGCCCCTTGGCCATGCCCTAGAACTCGAAAACAGTTTACCCCGAGACACTCACGCTGTGTTTAACGACGCTAGTCCATGTGAAGTTACATTAAAAATAACCCCTGTGCAGCAGTATCGTCGTATATAAAGTTGGACTGTCTAATGAGTCACTGTAAATACCGTATTTTCCCATGGAAATTTCGAGGGAGAAAGGGATCTAGAAGGGGTGGGGTAATCTGGCAATCTGACTTGATTTCACGCCCACTCCTTTTCTTCCGTTCCCCGCAATCTCCGTCTTCATCTACGTTTTGCATGACGAAAGCTGTACTACTGCTGTAAAAGACTACCCCGGTCGGCTAATAGGGTTATCGTTCATGCTTCCCATAGTTTTTGCTCCCTTTCGTTGCTCTCATTCGTTATTGGGCGTCTGCCTATAGATGGTACCACCTACCTATGCTGACAGTCCTACAGGGCCTTGATTGTCTGTAAACACGAACGGCAGCATCTACCACGATGATGACATGTATTAGCCCCGAGAGCTTGAACTATGGGAATATGATGCATAATATGCCCCTACCCTAGGAAACTTCCGGAGCCCTAGTGCTACACAGTCCGACTATAGTCTCTCACCTTCGATCTCACTCGAACAAGAGCCTAACGTTGCAGGCTGACCTTATGTAACCAAATCCTATACCTCTGCTCCAGGAATCTGAGTGGGATACGGATAAGACCTACGACGAAGATCCCTGCTGCTAAGTCTAGAAATATGCGGATTTTGAAATAAGATCTAGTCGTCTGAATCCTAGGCAGCTAAATTAAGTCCTTGACTATCTCATAAACAGCCTTAATATACGCTGCCGGGGAAGGATGTTCTTCACTCAGCATCCTATTCATGGTATACGCGATTGTGAGCCTCCTGTCGCTATCCATAACCACGATCGAACCGCCCCATCCGCTACCCCATCCAACACTGCCCTCCGGCAGCTTACCTTCGGCGATCCCTGACTCAGGTCCGGTGAGGTAGATCCCAAGTCCGCGCCTCCCGCTACGCCCCGTCACCAAATCCATCCCAATCGCATTCTCCGTAAGCGCCAGTCTCACCGTCTCAGCCGACAACAGGCGATGGCCACCTGCCGCACATGTGCCGCCGAGCGAGAAACAGGAGAGGATCTTGACCAATGCCCTGGCGTTTGTGTGGCCGTTGACTGAGCCTAACACGCTGGACTGCCAGAACACAGTGTTGGCGTCCTCGGCCCTGGGGCAAGGGTTACAGAGTGTGCGCACGATGATCGAGTCCTGCTCATATCCCACCTGCTGGCTAAGCACCTCCTGGATCGAAGGTCCCGGTGGAGGTACGACGGGGGCCACCCGAGTCCGGTCCTCCTTGCGACACCCGTACTGGAAATCCGCCCCGTCGCCCAGCGGCCGGCAAATCTCCTCCGTTACAAACTTCTCGATGGACATCCCCGTCTTTCTTCGCACCAGCTCCCCGACGAGGAATCCCTGCGTCAAACCGTGGTATCCCATTGCGGTTCCGGGAGCCCACAGCGTTGCCTGGCGCGCCAGCTTGTCGGTTGCCACCTCGACGTCGCATATGTCCTCCAGCGTCATAGTGTCCTGCCACGCGCTGAGACCCGCTGTGTGGGATAATACTTGGCCGACCGTGACCTCGGACTTCCCGTTCGCCGCAAACTCAGGCCAGTGCTGGGCCACCTTGTCCTCGGGGCGGAGCACACCACGCGAGATCAGCATCAGAGCCGCCAGGTTGGTGACGAGTTTCGTGGTTGAGAAGACGTTCACCACCGTATCCTTTTCCCATGGTTTCTTGGTTGACACGTCGGCGTATCCCCCCCATATGTCCACCACGTTATCCTCTCCGTTGATATTAATGCACAGACTGGCACCGATATCTTGTCCGGAAGCGATGGATTCTTGCATTAAGTCGCGCAACTTGGAAAACCGGGCCTCGCAGTGGCCTTGTACCTGAGCCATCCTGGTGGATATTATGACTCGTGGCAGCGGTGGACGAATATAAGCAATGGAACTTCAATTCAAATGAAAGAAAAACGGCTGTCCTCAGATAGCGGTCCTGCGAATAATGAAATGTCAGGGTATGGAGGGGCAGTGAGGTAAGAGTGTGTAGTTAGAGGGTTTGCGTAAGACGTAAGATACGATATTATACGTAAAGCGGTCATTCTGAAATTAAAAATGGTCTATTATTAGGAAATGATTACTTGCAACTCACCTTGATATAGATTAGTGTAGTTTCGGATATGGCCCGACAGACGGTCAGTGCCTGAGGCTAAACTGTTTTCGAGTTCTGGGGCATGGCCAAGGGGCGTTTCGGAAAGTATGGTCTGCCCAATGCCGGAATCTGTAATGACGGTAATTTTGGTGATCTACCAGAGATACAGTCATATTTCATTAGTATTTGTACCCCAGTACTTCGGCAGGCTGAGGCCCACTTCTTTTTCTGCCGGTTAAAACTTCATAGTCAAAACCCCTGAACTATATAGCTAGTAACTAGTATGCCAGCCTTCGTATTTAATAACCTCTTCCGCCCGGTGCGGCATGGCCTCTGCTAAATTTATAAAATGATGCCCTGTTAGATTCTCCCATGCATACTACGCTGCATACTAGCAGGAATAGGTAGGCGGTGTAGAAAGAGCGGTCAATAGCGGAAGTACCGGGGTGAAATACTAATGAAATGCCACTGTACATCAAGAAAGAAGAGTGGTGACTTTTTTGATCAAATTCGGATTAGTGCGACCTGAGTGGGGCGCTAGGAGAGAAAGCGTGAGTGTCTTGGGGGTAATCTGTTTTCGAATTCTACTGTACCCCAGGGAACTGATTATATGTTAGTTTCGTTGACATAGAATTGCTCTTGATTTTCCCAATGCCCGAATTGGTAAAGAGCTCTGGGGAAGATGGTAATGGATCCTAGGAAGTGGGGCTTCAGACGGCTATTGAGAAGGATAGGTAACTAATATCTTGGGCATTCGGAAGTTGAGAGCCTCAGCAACTTGACTTGTTCACTCCGCTCAGTGAGGACGGGTGGGGCAGCTGGCACAGTTTAATTGACCGAGGCCCACCTACACAACCAGCCAATCAGAGTACAACATTGTGGACAATCATATCGCTTTTTTATTTTTTGAGGCCAACTCTTTTGTGACCGTCCCTGAAAATTCCTCTCGTGTGTCTCTCACACAAATCTCAATTGGCTCCTTGATGTTGAAAAATCACTCAACTTTTTAAGATGAACATCCGAGCCTTGGCGTTCGCAGAATCCCGAAATCGCCGTGCTGCGATTCAACAACCGCCTCGCTGCCTTTATTGTCGCGCACGTATGAGAGAATCACAATGTCCCCCTTGGAATGACAACGGTAATGCTGATCGCCTGTATGTATCATACCGTTTTTCTTGTGGACAGTTTACCTGCTCCGGAGATATGCGGAGCATTTTGGCAGTGCTTTTGTGATCATAGCATCAAACGTATTTATACATACATAGCAGGGCATGGCAGGACAGTAGAAATTTCGCCGTCAATATTCTACCAGTATGCCACCGGGGGATGCCTTTTCTTCGATTACATGACAGAAACGCCACGAGAAAGTTAGACTTACTCGGGGTTTTTTCTGTAACCCCTGTCGTTTGGATATGTATTCCTAATGACATATATCGGAGAGTACTTTGGAGTCTGTATCGGCTTGTTTCCCGCAGTTTAAGTGAGGTCTCAGTGACTTCAGTATTCCATTAAATATCGATTGAGACGGATGGAGATTCAGGACAAATCAATGAAAGGATGACGTGAAGGATGGGAAAAGATAGAGCAACGCCATTGCGCAGACACAAGTGCGATGGCTCGCTGCTGAAATATGAGACAGATACCGGATGTGGTGATAAGGTACATATATGTATTCGCGTACTTGCTTGCGCGTCTTTCACTTATCCATCCCAGAAA